GCAAAAAGGTCAAGTCAGACCTCAAGGGAGAGTCAAAGTGGCCACAGGTCTTGCTGATGCATCCCAAAGCAGAAGCCCCTCCCGTGTACCAGGCACTGGGTTAAGGGATCTGGGGGACACAGAAGTGATTCAGACACAGTTGAATCAAGCAAGACAGCAGGAGAGAGAAGAGTTACACCCAGATACCTGCAGAAGGTGTTGTGGCATCTGTGATCTGTCCCCATGTTGCCTTCTAGGCTCAGATTCATTTTCTATTTTGGAACTACCTGAGCCTTGCAAACTGCCTGCCCTGTAACGGAGCCAGACACTCCAGGCATATCAGCAAAATCTAAGAGGAGAAAAAAAGAAAGGTTTCCTAGAAATCAAGTCTTGGGTCTTGAATGGATTGAGCAATTCAAAGCATGCCCCCAAAGAACCCTTCTCAAAGAAGCAGAACCTCGAGTTTATTTTCTTCCTCTGAAGAGCCTGAGTCCTTATCTTTGGCCTAGATGGGCCCCGAGATCCCCATCACCCATGAAGGAAGTCAGATGCCCCAAAGGTGCTGCTCCTTAAGTAACACAGCAATCATGCCAAGACGCAGGAGACTGGTGCTCCCTCTTCTTCTGGTTTCTGTCTCACAGGTCCTTTTCCAACCCCTGAGTTATGGCCTCTCTGAAGGTGGAGAGAAGCAGGAGTTGCAGGAAGAGTAAGGGTGTAGGTGACTCCAAGTGAAGAGCCACTTGAGGCTCACCAGAAGAGAGATGGCCAATAGAGTAACAATTATATTTACATTTGACCTTAGTTCATACAACCGAAGTTAAAACACCCAATTCCCTGCCTGTTATTACCACGGGACATTACCATTCATAGTCCCAATGTCAAGATGACCCCGTATGTACCAGGGCATGGGCTTCCATATGGACATATGGTGACCCTCTGGATAGCCCATTCAAAACAGGCTTTTAAAAATTATCACCAGAAACTTTCTAAATGAAGCAATTTTCTTAAGGTGATATAGGCATTTGACTCTCGGGGGACATAGGCCAATTGCAATTATTCTCCTGATGCTGGATTCTCCACAGATTGGGCTGCTGCCTTTATATTCCATACCTGCCTTCTTTCCTTCTTTCCTCTGTCCCATCAGTAAGCCTCTAGCTCAACATTTCAGACATCATAGCACAAGCTGCTGATTATATCCCAGTATGAGTTTTCCTCTTCTTTTTTTCAAAAGACCCCTCAAATTTTTGCCAAGAATATAGCTGCTCAGCTAAAAACTATATTTCCCAGCCTCCTTGGCATCTAGCATGGTAATATGACTCTTTATTTATTTATTACTGGTCAATGGTACATGAATGGAAATAATATGTGCAACTTCTGGGACTGCAACTCAAGAGAAGCAGGACCTCTCCACCCTCTGCTTCCTCCTTTCTCCTATTTGACACAGGGATATGATAGCAGGAGTTGGAGCAACCATTATGGGCCATGAGATAGAAGATATATTGACTGTTTTGAGCAGAGAACAGTTAAAGAAGAAACCTGGGCCCCGAGAGTCTTGATCCTAAATTGTAAGAGAGAAATCAACTTCAATGTAGCTTCAATTCTGTACTTGCTGGGGGTGGGGTCTCTTTATGAGAGTAGCATAGCAAATTTTGTAACTTAAGTCACAGAGCTGGGTTGGATGGCTCTGGTTCCTGAGATCTGGCATCTTTGTGTGGGAGGATATTGGGGATTGAACTCAGGAGCACTCGACCGCTGAGCCACATCCCCAGCCCTATTTTGTATTTTATTTAGAGACAGGGTCTCACTGAGTTGTTTAGCAAGCTCGCTTTTGCTGAGGCGGGCATCGAACTTGTGACCCTTCTGCCTCAGCCTCCCAAGCTACTGGGATTACAGGCATGAGCCACCACACCCTGTGAGATCTAGCATCTTTAAAGTCAGCTATACATATAAAGCATATATATATATTTAAAGCCATAATACATAGGATGGAAAAAACGAGGCACAGACTGAAAAATCAACAGAGAAATTTACCCATCTGTGACTTTTGCTGATCAAGAATCTGTAGGCACTGAAAACTGGTGGAGAGTACGTGTCCCTTTGGTAGCATCTGTTAGTCAGAAGGACTGTGGAGTTGAGAGGTTCCAATGGAATAGAAGGATCTGCAAGTTAGACAGACCTGGGTATATTTATTAGCTCCAAGGCCTTGGGTAGTTCTTAATGCCTTCTATCAGAAGGTAGAACTTGTAATAATAGTTTCCTCTTGTATTGGGTGGATGTCCGAACTTGCCTGGCTATGCTGAGAACCCAATAAGGCCCTATGTGCAAAGGGAAGCATAGAGTAGGAGAGAGAAATTTGGATCTTTTCTGCCATGAGCTTGCTGAGTTACCCTGGGCAAGTCACCGTACTTTTTCTGGGTTTGTTGCTTCACCTATCAAATGGGATGTTGAGAAGAAATGATTCAGTAGGTGCCTTCCTGCTCGGATGCTCTGTGGTTCAACGCGTGTGTCAGGCTATGATATCATCAGGCTATGATATCATTATGGGAATCAGACTTTGAAGCCACTTGTTGGTGCTGGTTGGCTGGCACCAGCTCCAGAGGGCTGACTGGGTAGTGGTTTCCTAGTCTGAGGTCAGTGAGGTCACGATAGCGGCTTGGAGTAGGCCACGGTGGGAATATTTACACCACGGAAATGGGCAAGCACTAGGCATCAGGGTTCCACCCCACATAGAAAGAAAAATGATGACATTGTCTCTCCTTGATGCTCAAGGTAGCAAATATAACCAGTGAAGCTTTAGCTAGAACACACAAGCTCCTGCTGGTAATGTACAGAGGTAGGAGGGAAGAATTCGAAGTCACCTGACTCCTGGGTCCTGGATGCCTGGTCCAGCTCTGGGTTGCAGTAAATAGGCCCCTTGTGGCATGAAGGAGTTCGTAACTTTCCCTCCGTGACCAACCTCCCTGGTCTTGTTGTGCTGTTGTTACCCTGGGTGTGCCATTTTAAAATTTAATTAAAGCCAGAGACTCGAGATAATGGGCTGTTGGTGTCTGCGGCCCCATCCTGGGTAAAAGCTGGGCCCTTGGGAACAAGGGGAAAAGGTCTTACAAGGCCCAGAGTGATCAGGAGTGGTTGTTAAATTATTCCAGTTAATCCAAACAAAGCTGTTACCCCAGACCCTGACTCACCCAGCCTAGCGGGGGGCCTGTGGCGTGGAAATTTTAGGAAATGCTGGAGGCAGGGATTAAGCCCTCATCAGCGTCAGAGTGTCTTCTGCAACGTGTGTTCTGAGAAATAGCAGATCTTTGCATGCTAGAGAACCCCCTTTCCCAGCCCAGAAGAAGTTCATAGCTAAATGGGTTAGGGAAACATTGGTGTTTAGGGAAACAGGTTTTTATGGCAGCACTTCTCAGAGATTTTAATAGGCTGATGTATTTGTAATGAGGAATATATTTTTAAATGTCCAGCCATACATCTGAAATGTCCTTTTGGCCATGAACTAATAGCAGTTCAAGCTATGTGCAACTGACCTCTCAGCCTTCAATGCCCCGACCAGGTCAAACCCTGCTCAGTGAGCCAAGTTCACAGGTCATGACCTTGGATGTCCCAGGAAGTGCCATCGTTATGAAAGTCCCTACCTGCTTTCTCTGTGTTTTTATACTTGCCGCATCGAGGTCCATTAGCGAGCAGTGTGTGGCGAAGTACGTGGGCCTTACTTTCAGTAGCACTGTGCTAAGGTACCTGGCTGGTCTTGTTCTCTGAACCGATGCTTCCGCCCCAGTAAGTCCTGCTCCGACTCACTCTGGGACTCCTGAGTTTGCTGAGGGAGTAGTGTGTCTGGCTGCTGTGTGATGCACAGCTCTGTCAGGGCGAACACCGGTGTCACACACAGGCAGGCAAGTCCTGACCCCCCACCCCCCCAGTAGAGCAAGAGTCGGGTTTCCAGGGTCCCAGGAAGGACCCCGATGCACAGGCCAGCTCTCCTGGGAGATTGCTCCCTCTCTGGAGAGGGACGGACAAAAACCAGACACCGTCCTTAAACATAAAGGAAAACAAGGACATCCTGGGCTTCCTGTTCCAGAGACTCAAACATGCAGGAAAAGACGTAGCATCCTTCAAAACTGACTTCCGTGGAGGGTGCTGAACTCGGAAGTTCCCGGGTGGCACCTGATGCTGCCTCAGGGGGCCAGCTTGTCTGCTCCCAGCTGAGACGCACAGAAGGAGGGACGTGGGTCTTTTTGCCTTGGCGGCACTGGGCCAGCATGAAGGAGGCAGGGCTCAGATCCACCTCCTGGTTCCAGCACTTTCTTCACAGCTTGGTAGGTGGGTGCCTGTGCAAGACATCTCCTCCCTCCCCTCCTCTGCCTCACACAGTCTCCTCCTGCGTCCACATTGGAAGTCAAGTGTAAATAGAAGGCTCCAGCTCCCAGGTCAGGCTGCTGTCAGAAGCCCCCCCCCTCCTTCTCTCTCAAATGCTCACGGTCCCTGCCATCCCTTTATTCTGTACCTGTCAGAGCCAGCTCCCTCCAATCTCCCCGTGGACAGATTCCCTCCTCAGTGACAGTGTCGGTGACCCGAGAAGTCCCTGGAATCAGGCTGTCTCTTTCCAAGCAGAGACGGTTTCAGCTTGGAGGTTTCTTTTTTATCCCTCTCTTTCACTGGTCTGTTCCTGACTGTGAGGAACTATTTATTCACAAGTTGGGCCCAGGTTCCAGCTGGGAGGAAGGAGGTCCCATGAAAGGATGGACGTCTTGGGACATTCCGACTCCCAGGACCCTAATACTGGTTCAGAGAGAGAGAGAAAGACCTGGGGAAGGTCGGGCATTGGGTTGACCGGAGTTCTGGGGTCTCTCTCTCTCTCTCTGGGCAAGTGGAAATGTCCAGCCCGGTGTGTGGGGAGGAAAGAGGCAGGTCGTTTGTGCAGAAGTGGGTTGACATCATGGAGTGCAGGTACAGACCTCTGAGGCGGACTCTGCAGAGTCAAATAGACAGCTGGGAGAATCCATGGCTAGTGAGGGAACTCGTTTTTTTTTTTTTTTTTTTTATTATTTCTAGCAAGAAAAACGAGGGCAGGAGGCTGGGAAGGAGAAGTTGGAGGAGCAGGACGGAGATTAGGCAGATAGAGCAGGTCACCAAGTCAGGGAAGAGAAAACCAAGTGTCACGTCGCCCAGAAACCAAAGGGGTTGAAGGCTGAGAAAAGGAAACGGTTGGTTAATTAAGGTGGCTCCCGAGCAGGGCGGCCAGGTGTGGCCGTGCAAGGTGCCCTCCACACCCTCCTCCCTAGTGCATCACCCGCGGCTCCTGGGGACAGTTCTGCCCTGAGAGTCCTGCCAGCCGAGGGGTGAAGGCGGAAGCTCCATCATCAGCTGAGGCGCGAGTAGGAGGTGAGGCAGGAGCTGGAGCCGTGAAGGTGACCCTGGGAAGGAGTTTGGAAGTGAAAGAAAGGGAAAGAAACGGTGCCTGCAAAGGCTTGAGGGGAAACACTTTCCACTCGAATTACCGCGCAGGCTGGGAAACCTGAACATGACTTAGGCAAAGGGAAGGCACAGAAGGGGGAGGGATAACAAACGGGCAGGGGTGTGCAGGGAGGAAGAGGAGTCTCCACTCAGAGCAAATGTCGATGGCCTCTTTGCCCTTTGCTGGAATGCTGCTCCAGGGAGAGGGCAGCTTCCGACCTCAGCAGTTTCTATTTGGTGATCAAGGATGCAATAGAGGGGGCTGGGTGGAAGATGGTGGGTGCTGTTACATTTCGGGGCTTGGGGAAGGTGTCTCTGAGGAGATGAACTTGGAGCTGGAAAGAGGCCACTCTGTGAAGAGGTCAGAGGCAGGAAGAGGCCCCGGGTGGCTGGGCAAGGCCTGGTCAGGCAGGGTCTCTTGGGAGGACATCTCCACGAGACAGTGCAGAGTGTGCATGATCCAGCTCCCACTCCCAGGGTCTTAGTCATCTCCCTCGCCCCCCATAGAGTAAAACACAGCAGCTTGAATGAAAGCCTTCTCCCACCAGGCACAGCGGTGCACGCCTATAATCCAGCAGCTGGAGAGGCTGAGGCAGGAGGATCACGAGTTCAAAGCCAGCCTCAGCATCACTGAGGTGTTGTATAACTCAGTGAGACCCTGTCTCTAAATAAAATACAAAATAGGGCTGGGGATGTGGCTCAGTGGTCAAGTGTCCCAGTCACCCACCCCAACCAAAAAAGAAAGCCTCGCCATCAGTAGCTTGCTTTAAGTGAGTCAAGAAGAGTTTAAATTCATGGTTTCTTGGGCGATCTCCCAGTCAGGGCAGGTGCTGGGCATTTTCATTGGCTCTGGGGTAAGAAGAGGGAGGACATTAGGTCCTTTAGGTATTCCCAAGTCACCTCATTACAGAGACACCTGCCACCTTATCTATCTTTCTGGTAGATAATGTTCACTCGGATGCCCTCCTCCGTTTCTGTCTGGACCCCTCCAACTCCTTTGGCATCTCTTCTCCATCCCCAATATTCTCATGCTACATCTTGCTGTTCAAGATTTTTCTTGGGGTACCCCCTTGGCTCAACTCAAAAGATTACACATCCCCCCTTTTCTTTAGCTTCTCCTACATCCCCACAAAAATGCCCATTTCCTTAATTCAGATATTAACAAGAAGGCAATCTGATTGCAAAACTTCACACTAAAATGTTAGTGACGGATATCATCACCACATTTGTGGTGGTGGAAGGATATGCACCCAAATTGGAGTGTTGACTTTGGGTATTTTAGGGCATCTGTTTGCCAAGAGGTGAGTTGTACCAAGGAAGATGCAGAAATGGGGAGACTTTATGCGAAAGCTTGCTTGTGCCTGAGGCGGGCTTTGTTTTCAGATCTAAAAGGACAGAAAAGCCAAATCTCCATATTCCCAAGTCGAGGCCAAAGTAGCTTTGTGGTCTGAGGGCAGGGTAGTCACAAAGCACAAATTGGACCTTTGTGAAACCAGCTTCTCTGGTTAGGGTTAAAAATAACATCCAAAATGGCAACAGCCACATGAACTGAACACCTTCTCTGTGTGGGGGAGCTCATTCACTCCTCATTGCCGCCCCATGATGTAAGTGCTATATACCGTCCCATTGTCCAGATGATGCGGGCTTAGAAATATATAGCGACTTTCCCAAGGTCACACAGATAGATGAAAAGAGCTGGAATTCAAACCCAGGCCTGTCCGAATCCAGCACCCTACCCTCCGCAGGTGCTTCACGGGTTGAAACTCCTCCTCGCTGCATGCCAGGTTTGGGATTTACTTCCTCTCTCTGGGCCTCAGTTGACTCATCTGGAAAAGAGGGAGATGGACAAAATTATTCAAGGGCCCTTTCCTGCTGTGAGTGTCACCAGGCTGTGGCATCCTTCCTTCCTAAGTCGAACACGGTTCATTTGATGTGTAAATGTCAGCGGCGCCCTCCAGCACTGGGTTCCCTGGAAGGAAGCCAGGCTAAGGGTGGCCAGAGGTGCCCTCCCTGGACCAGCTTGGGGCAGATTCACCAAAGCCTGCAGCGGCCTTCATTCAGCTCCACCTGAGGTTTCCCGGAGAATGAGCCATGGATGCACCTCCTGTGGCCCCCCAGCGCCAGAGTGGTCTTTCCCCCCCCCCCCCAAGCGGCTCTCCAGGCAGCTGAGAGTTGCAGGGTGTGTTTTCCTCTCTCCTTGGGAGAGCCAAGAGGTCAGTTTGAGTGTAACTGTGACAGATGAAATGGGCCCCTTGTTTGGAAACACCCTTTTCAAATCCAACTCGAGATGGGATTAAGACAAGGGCCGTGGCTCCTATCCAGGACTGTCATCTGGTGAACATCTCCAGGCTCATTTGAAGGAAGTGACAGAAGAGAGTGAGATTTCAAATCAGGGAAATTGGCGACAGGCTCTGTTTGCACCGGCCTCCCCACCTCCTGCAGCCTACAGAAAACAAAAGCTCCCGACTAGGAAAGTGACGCAGCGCCACCTCCCGGCCGCAGCTGGTCGGGGCCTCTGGCTGCCGGGAGGGCTCCCCTAGTTCAGGGCCTGACATGAAGCATGCCCAGGGAAGACCCGTTCCTAGGCTCCCAGAGGGTGGAATGGGGGTCCCGGAGGAGGTACGCGACTTCTCAATTCATGTCATTTTTTTTTTTTTTACAGGCAAACTCATAGTGGGTCAGATGTGGACTCTGGAGCTAGTTTCCCTGGATTTGAATCTCAGTTCTGTCCCTCTAATAGCTGTGCAATTTTATGCAAGCTACTTAACCTCTCTGGTCTTCTTTCCTCTCCTATAAAATAAGGATAATGAGAGCATTGACTTCAGAAGTTCACTGCAAGATTGGAGTCAAGAATGTGAAGTGGTTATCTACAGTGTGTGACCCAGGATGAGCAGATCAATATGTATTGGCTATTGTTATTCACCTGAGCAGACCTCCCACGTATTTTTTTTTTCCTTCTTTCTGCTTACCTATTAGGCCCGTTTCTAACTTCCTGTTGACCTAAATGTCCCATGCACATGTTTCCGGGTCAAGAAAGTTGATGCTAATTCTGAAATCTTGTTGACATAATTGACCCTACCGAAACTCACACCCTAGACTTTATATCGACTCCCTGGCACATTTTGAGAGAGTGTCATCCTTGGGGAACTCCCAGGCCTTTGTTTTGGTTGAAGCAGGCTGTCTGGGCAGCCAGGCGGACGATGCTTTGGAATACACCTGGGAACCATGGCTGGGCCTGGGGATGGTACCTGCTCTCTTTCAGAGGCTGGACTAGGCTTCAATCCATGGGGGGATCTGAGGGCTGGATTTCCCCTCGCTCGTCCGAAGAGTTCTCCTGGGATGTGGGTGAAGCAGGAAAAGGCTCCCTTTCAAGATCTCCTGCCACGTTGGAACCAGAAGGGTTTCTGGAAGCTCCATCTTAGGGTCAGACTTGGGACGCTCATGGATTCTGATGGGAAGATCTCCCAACCTAGAGAGAGGGAAGGCCGAGAGACACAGGCTGCCTGAGCCAGTGGCTGGCCTTCCCAAAGTCAGCCATAAATCCAAGGCTCCAAGGTGACCACTGACACAGACACCAGCTCTGGAGTCTCTGGGGGTCACAGGGCTTGGTGACAGGCGACCAACTCTTCCCAACCCGTCTGCCGCCCAGCCAGACCAGCCTGAGGGTAGTTCCCAGTCTTCCTGCTGTTTAATGAGGTCTGACTTTCCGTGTGAAGGAGGGCCTGGCTCAAACATCTGTCTCATCAAAAGGGTCCGGACCCTTAGAGACACAAAGGCTTCTGGGGCGCCTCCACTCTCTGGCCTCTACCACTCCCAGAGTCCATCCTTCAATGTGCTCCAATAGCCATGACTTTGACTCCGCCGGGGCATCAGGGAGCAGAGCCAGGTTTCAGGGTGAGGACGGAGGAGAGAAGGGAGCCCTCTGAACCCCTTCGTCTCTGCCCTTGGCTTCCTCTCCCGGGCAAGACTGAACCGTGACTCACCGGGTTTAGAATGTTTTGTTAGCCAATCCCTGTTTTGCTTGAAAACCTCCAAAGTCTCAAGAAAATAGCCCCAAGGGAACTGGGAGGGGAGTTGGGAGGCTCAGGCCCACTAAGGAATCTGCTTAACCTGAGACAGAAGGTGACCTAAAGAGCAGATTCCAGACCAGGAACCTTCAAGCGAGTGGCTGAGCGCCTGGAAGTCATGTGAATTTTTGCAGAAAACTGAAGTTTGAAGTTTGAAGGATTAAATGTAGAATTTAAGGCTGCAGCTGGATACCACGCCATGAAGACCCCTGACCACATTCTGTCATTTATTAGCTGTTTGACTTTGAACTAGTGGCTTCACATCTCTGCAGCTCAGTTTCCTCGTCTGTGAAAGGGACGAATGATACTGGTGTGAGGACTAAAGGACAAACCATGATTTATTTTTTCCTCTCTAGGGCTGGGTGGATTGGCAGCCAACTAACAAAAGTTTAAGGGGAAAAAAAAGTATCAGAGAAGAAACTAAGTTGAGAAGTGGCTTTCCACGGCAATTCCTGCGTTTCAATTTTGTTTTCGTGAAGTTGTGGAACACTGCTACTTGCTGATGCTAGTGACCCATGTGGCATGGCATGGCCTGGCTACTACGGGAAACCCTGGTATCTGCAGCTGTAGAGCTGAAGAACTGTTGTGGCAGGCCAGGGTTCTCAGCCTCCTTGAGGTGTGACAACACAGGTGACCCACAGCACAAGGATGAGCACACCCCGAAGACCAGTCCGGGTCCTTCCTGACTCCATCCCCCACTAGCTGCCTTATCTTAGGCAAGTGAAGCAAGAATGTCAATGGTACCTACCTTGCTGGTTTGATGGGCTTGTTTGTTGGGCTGGCTGTAATGTGGTGGTACAGGTAAAACACCAAAGCAGTGTTGAACACAAGTAAGTTAAAAAGGAAACAAACAAAGCTTACCATGAATTATGCATGTTTTGAGTCCGAGATGGAATCCCACCCTTTTCTCTCCTACTCAGGGAAGCAATTGCAAAGTGATATTGCTACAGGAATCATCTTCGATCTGTTCAAAAATTGTTGGACCAGAAACACATTATGTATGAAGAGCATCTAATCACAGATCCTCCGCTGCAGATGGATGACATACTTTTCTCCAGGCTCCGTGAAGTCTGTATTAGGTTTTTGGTGGCGGCTATAACAAATAACCCCAAACTCAGTGACTTCAACCAACACACATTTACTATTTTAGCAGTTCTGAGGGTAAAAAGTTTTAAATGGATCTAGATGGTCTAAAATTAAGGTGTTGACAGGGTTGTGTTTCTGGAGACTCCAGGGAAGAATTGTTTCCTTGCTTTTTTTAAGGTTAGCCTCACTCCTTGGCTTGTGGCCACTTTCCATTTCTAAAGTGCTCTGTCCGTCTGGTCATGACTCTTCTCCCTCCCTCTTCCCCAAGTAAAGTCCCTTGTGATAACACTGGGCCCACCTCAGTCATCAGGATCAACTCCCTGTTTTATAATCAAGTGATTATTCACTTTAATTCCATTGGTAACCTTAATTTCCACTTGCCATGTAACTTATTATATTTACAGGTTCTAGAAATTAAGATGTAGACATCTTTGATGGGGGCAATTCTTTTGGCTGCCACATGGGATGACCCTGAATCTGCCAACACTATTTGAAATTTACTTACATACATGGTTGCTTCATGAACAAACACACAGTGAATAACTGCACAACTAATATTGGTCAGTGGTCCTCAAATACCAGTAGGTGCACATGAAATCTGAAACGATAAACAACATGGCAATTTTTCATCAAGTAAACTTAACTCCATTTAAGGAACTGCTCTTTTGGTATTAAAATGATGATGGCCGATGATAGTTGGTTGCTTAATTTTTAATGTTTTTGGCAAATATAAAAGTTGATAACTCAGTAAGACGAGGTCTTTGAGGGAAGGAGGAGATTTCTCTGCTATATGTTTTTCAGAGGATGAGAGTGGTCATCCACCTCCAGGAGTTCTTGCTCCCAGCCCACAGCACCCAGGGCTGTGGAACTCTCCATTCAGGACCTGCCCCTCCTCTGCCCAGGGTTTTGAAGATTTGAAGCCAAGGATTAAGTCTGAACTCTTCTCCAACATGAGACAGTTGCCCCTCAGCCTTCCAATGCATCAAAAGAATAATAGGAAACCCACCCTGCCCACCTCAAAGGACTGTAAGGAGAACCAAACCAAACTCGTGAAGTGCTGGGTAAGCAGGAATGGTTGGTTTTATACTGAAACTTGGACTCTCAGTTTCTGGACTTGTCTATAAATTTTTCTGAGTGGTTGAGACAAAGTCAGAAGGTCCCAAGGGGTATCATTAAGCATTTAGGGAATAGCTATTAGAAAGATGTTGTTTTTCTCACTAAAAACAAAAACAAAACTAAATATCTAAGTTTTGTTTTCCTTAGGGTGAAGTACACCCAACACATATTTACCATCCCAACTATTTTTAAGTGCTCAGTCCAGCAGTGCTGAGTTCATTCACACTGATTGGCAACCAGCTGAAACTGCACACTGTACATGAGGAATCAGCTCCCATTCCCCACCCTCCTCAGATCCTGGGACTACCTTGGACTTGATGTTTCTATGAATTTGACTGTGGTTCCTCAGATAAGTGGAATTCTACAGCATTTGTCCATTTGTGAATGGCTTATTTCACTGAGCATAATGTCCTCAAGGTTCATTCATATTGTGGCCCACGTCAGAATCCCCACTCTTTTTAGTACTGAGTGATGTCCCATTGTACGTATGCAACACATCTTGTTCATCAGTCATCCGTCCATGGACACCTGGGTTGCTTCCATCTTTTGGTAATGCTGCTGCTATGAATGTAGGTATACAGATATCTCTTTGAGATGCTGCTTTCAATTCTTTCGAGTATGTTCCCAGAAGAGGAATTGCTGGGATAAAGGGGAGTTTTGTTTTGAACTTTCTGAGGGACCGCCATGCTGTTTTCCATAATGGCGGCACCCTTTGACATTCCCACTAACCACGGGCAAGAATCCCTTGCCAATACTTGTTATTTATTTATTTATTTTCTTTGTTGGCAGCCATTCTAATGGGTGCGAGGTGATCCTCATTTTACTCTTTGAATTACAAAAGTTGGATCTACTCACAGTAAAAATATTGCCAAGGTGCAAAAAGGCAAAGATTGAAACATCAATCAAGGGAAAACTTCTCACTTCTACCTGTCATAGCTAACCAATCACATAACCAATCATTCCTTGAGTGTCCAGAAAGTTCCATGCAAATATATTTACATCATATATCTCTTTTATCACACAAAGGCCATTTCATACTTTATAAATTTCATTTAGTTACATATTTTGGAAAACTTCCCATGTGAACCTCTATACAGCAACCTTATTCCTTTTCACGATCACATAATAGTCTGTTGTGTTTATACAACTTAAACAACTTTTTATTGGTGAATACAGTTGATTGACTTTCAGAACCACCTTCTTTTAAAAAATTGATAAAAGTAACCCACAAGAGATAATGTAGCAGCTGCTTAGATTCAAATTCAAGCTCTACCAGAAATAGCGCTGGAATGTTGGGCAAGTGATTTGCCCTCCCCCTGCTTCAGCTTCCTCATATCTAAAATAGAAATGCAATAGCACTTACCCTGTAACAGTATTGCAAAGGTGAAATGAAGTAATACACACAGAATGTCTAAAATACAAAGTATGGTGCAGGTTATCCATTTCTTGGCTTTAATCAACAACCTTGAACATATACACCTTTGTATAGTTTTCTGAAAATTTATGTTGGACAAGTTGCTACAAGTCAAACCACTGAGCCAGAGGGTAGGATTTTTTTTTTCCTTTTTACATAAGCATTCTTTTGAACAAATAGTCGTTAGCAGAGTTTTCCAAGTAATTCTTCATAGAATCAGTTGTGTGACAAATTTGTATATGGCTAAAAGTAGCAAATGGTCCTGACCTAGAGAGTTTGCCAATGGACTAAAATGGCCCTATGTGTATATATATATGTATATACATATATGTGTATTTATACATATATGTATATATGTAAAAGACTGATATTCTGGAAGAACTTTTAAAGATAAAATATGCTCCTTAGCTGGGTGCAAGGATGTATGTCCATAATTCCAGTTACTTGATAGGCTGAGCCAGTAAGATCACAAGTTCAAGGCCAGCCTAGGCAATTTAGCAAGACCCTGACTCAAAAAACAATAAAAGGGCTGGGTATGTAGTTCAGTGGTAGAAACTCCCTAGCATGTGTGAGATACTGGGTTGGATCTCCAGCAACACACACACACACACACACACACACACACACACACACACACATAAACACACATGCAAACAGATACACTCCTTGACTTTTGTTCCATGAATTTCAAACAGTGCTTTCTTTTGGGAGGAGGTGTGTGGTATAGTAAAAATTGCACTAGACCTGGAGTTGCAAGTTGAGTTCTCAACTCAGTTTGTTGTGTGTCCTTGAGTGCATACCTGTCTCTGTTAGAAATGGAAAAGAATTGTGCACATGGAAATATAAAATGCACAGAAGTGCATTGAGACCAAATAAGGTCTTAGGTAAATTGAATACTTAGTACAAGATGATCGTACAAGTCATCATGGCTTGTGGCATCCTCCAGGGGAGACCTGTCTCTGTTTATTCTCAACAGTTTGGAGACCATAGGGAAGTAACATCCAGTAACTTACCGCATGTCCAGCTAGAAGGAAAGCAAAGCTTATCTGTCCTGCAGCCTTGATTCTCAGAGAAGGGTGTTGACCTGTTCAAGGTCAAGGCAAGTCCAAAAATCAGACCACAGTTCTGGTTCAGTGCTCTCCCAGCCCCTCTGTGCAGCCTGCCTCCTATCGAGAAGAGAGGACAGCTTCTGGCCAGAGCTGGGACCTTGGGCAAAGAGGACTGACTTTGGAGGCTTTGTTGGTCATGTCACCAAGGCTCAAGGACAAGGTACCCTCCAGGATGAGTCAGGGAGGGTGACGGCCTGGGAACCCAGAGATGTGGAATCTAGTTGTTTTTCTGCCTCTCACTTTGGGAAAGTCACTGTGGGCCTTTGAGTTCTTATCTGTAGAATGAAGGGGTTGTGAAGTGTGATGTCCAGGGATTTTCATTCATTTGTTCAACACATTTATTAAAAGCATGCCCTCGCTAGACACTGTTTGGCTCTTTAAAATATAATGATTTTTTAAAAATAATGAGCACTTACCATGCCAGATATTGTACCAAGAATTTTATACATAGGAATCCATCAACCTTTAGAACAGCTCTATGGGGTAGGTACTCTTAGAGTTACTACTTTATGGATAAGAACCCTTACATGCAGAAGTTCAAGTTCCTTGCCCAAGTTTACAGAGCAAATTAGGAATAGAGCCAGGATTCAAACCTAGCCCTCTGGCTCAGGGCTGTGCTCCGGGGTCTCACCCACATGAACTTCCCAGCCTGATGAAAATAATGGCTTTTATTTGCTGAACACATACCACTTGTTTAACCATGCCACACACTTTATATTACTTCTTGCTCTTATTTATGTATTGGTGCTGGGGATCGAACCCAGGGCCTCATGCATGGTAAACATATGCTCTACCACCAAGCTTCTCCCCAACCCTGCTTTTAAATCTCACAATAAACCCATTAAAAAAGAGAATCATACCTATTTACAGGTGAGAAGACTAAGGCTCCAAGAAGCCACATAGTGGCTGATAAAAGTGGCAAAGATGAACCTTAACCCCAGGTCTGTTTAACTCCCCATCTGGGCTGAGAAGCACTGTGCTCTCACTCTGTTCTCTGACATTTGGACACAGCTGAAATTGAGACCAAGATGTGGAGGTCTGGGTCTGGGCAGCCCCAGGTCATCATGTTGACTTCAGTGGATTTTATTCTTAGACCTGGTTCTCAGTGGCTCTCGAGTAGCAGCTCAGAAGCCAGTCGGTACCTGGGATGTCCTGAGATGGTCAGGAGATGCAGGTCAGTGTCCCCTTTCTCAGCATCCCATGTGAGATCCTGGAGGAACTCCTGCAGCATCAGACACAGGGACATGAGGCAGAGTCCACCCCAGACTATGGCTTCAGAGAACCCCTCAAGTCCTCACTCTCAGGCTAACTGAGGCTGAACACCCTCTGTGACCGCAAACACGTTACCAAGGAACTGCTTCTGCAGAGAGGCTGCCTGAGGATGGGGGCTTCCCTGACGTCTTTCCACGTTTGAGGGAGAGCCTGGGATCAGGAGACAGGTTCTCAGGGAAAGCTGGAGGAACCGGAACCCTACATGGGCTCAAGTCCAATCCCACTAAGGGTTCCAGAACATGTTTGGATGAACAAACAAATAAATGACCTCATGCACGAAAGCACAGATGAATGAATCAAACTGAACTAAGAAATGGAAGAATGAGCCAGAAATGTATCCATCAGCCTCTGAAGGAATGAGCGAGGCCCAGTCCCGCCCTCTCCTGCAGCCTCAGCTGGGGTTCTGAGGCCAGTGCCCCGCAGCAGGGCAGACGTCTCAGAGCAGGACAGGGGCTGGGGTTGTAGCGCAGCAGTAGCGGGTGTATTCAGTGTGCACGAGGCCCTGGGTTCAATCCCTGGCGTGAGTGGGATAAAAAGAACATAACCAAATTGTAGCATCCAGAGCTGTCCCATCTGAGATGACAAAAGGGGGAACCGGATGGCATCTCACAGGCATTCCCCTCTCCTATCCTCTGTCAAAAGTGCCACTCACCTGCCCCCTTTGCCTCCAGGATAGGATTAGAGGGA